AGACCCGTTAGCTTGACTAGTGCGGTTGTAAAACTGATGGAAAATATCATTCGGATATCTGTCATAAACTATGTTGAAGGGCATAATCTTTTCTCCAGGGAACAACATGGTTTTCGGATAGACCTATCATGCTTGACAAATCTCATTGCAAGAGACGATTGGGCTGCCGCATAAGATCGAAATGTTCCTGTAGATGTGATCTTCATATACCTAATTAAGGCTTTCGATAAGGTCTGACATTCTGGTCTTAAATTCAAACTGGAACGTTTTTGAATTCATTATGCAGTCGTAGAGTTGATAAGTAACCTTATCCAAGAGAGGAGACAAAGGGTAATGGTTGATGAGGCTCTCTACTCGTAGATACCCGTAAAAAGTTGAGTTTCCCAAGACACAATCCTCGGTCTTCTTCTCTTTTTACTCTGTGTAAGTGAATTACCAACTGTAGCAAAACCATCCGTTCTACTCTTTGACGATGACATAAAGATTTAATGACCCATAATCAGTATGTCAGCTAAAATACTATTACTGGATAATCCCAGCTCATTGGTGGCATGGTCGGACAGGTGGTTACTAGAAGCAAATCTCAATAAGAGTATTGATGCAAATAAATTACTATGATGAATCGTATCACTATACAATATGTGGATTCGTGCTACCCAAACTGAGAAACTGTAAAGATTTAGAAGTTATATTAAGCACTGAACTCAAAACCACTAGTCACTGTAAAGCTGCTGCTGCGAAAGGCTATAGGGTACTATGGTTTATTCGTTAGAATTTCCAGTATTTAGATGATGAAATGTTCAGATTATTATACCCGATTTATGTGCGACCACATTTAGAATATGGGATTCAAGCAGCGAGTCTTTGCTTCAAGTATGAAGCAGAGATGCTGGAAAGAGTCCGACGATGAGGTACTAAGATGGTACAAGGTTTATCTGTCCTATCTTATGAAGACAGACTGAGACACCTTAACTTATTCCCGTTATCTTACCGTAGAGTACGGGGTGATCTAATATTGGCTTATCGTATACTGGACGATGACCTTGGTAACATGTCTTATCTCTTGCTTCCGTTTAGGACCGATCATTTGAGAGAAAATTCGAAGAAAATTCAAAAACCGAGATCAAATCGTTTACGTTTGGGACGACAATAACGGTTCGTGACGACTCTCTCATAGTCATGAACTTCTAAGACAACCCTGACCTTCCTCTCAATTTGCAGGACAAACATGATAGGATGCTGTGGGGAGAATTGAACAAGAAACTTGGACATCCAAGAATAGAGCCTTTGACAGTCACACGGCTCACTCGGGGAAAGGAATCTAAGCATCAAAATCACTCGAGGTTGCTTCGTGTAATATTTAAGAATGCTACCGACGTAGAGGATGTCCTACTAGCGAGTCATTTACTGAAGTCAGAAGGGAATGTAAGAATGCTGCCTGATATACCGTATTCTGAACGCAATCTCATCCGGAACATCCCCAAAGAAACTCGCGATCAGTTTTTCCGAGGGAGGAATATAATCGTACAAGGTATACCGGAAAATACGGAGCCTATCCAATCAAACTGTGACATCAAGGAATGGAAATTCATCAAACAGTCCTTGAGGCTCACAAACATACTGACTCAGCATGTGACGAGACTAGCCAAGAAGGATGGTGATTCTAGACCCCGTCTAATGAAGATAACCTTCCCATCTTCACACATGGCGGCCGCAACTCTGGAAGCATTTCGTGCCAACAGACGTCGACTGCCACCTGGAACCCACATGCACCCGGATAGGCCATACGAAGTTAGGACCAAACACAAAGGCAAGTTGGTGCTGACCATTCCACTTGTGAACTGTCTATGCGACAAAAAAACGTGTAAAGAACAGGGCCTACCACCTCGGCAAACCTCATATAGGTGGGCTACCTGTCCATTCACGTAAGGCTCATATAGACAAACAGGAAGAAGCTCACGCGTTTCAAATTGAAAGCATAAACTGCTTATATATGAACACCGCGAGTCTACCAAACAAATTGGATGAACTACGTGAACTTAGCAATGCTAATAAGGCCCATCTGATAGGAATATCTGAAACCTGGATATCTTTTCAATTCTCGAACCACGAGTTAGCATTACCTGGGATGTCTTTGTTCCGCAATGACAGAAAATCAGGATATGGGGGCGGAGTAGCTGTTTACATACGTTCTTGCTTGGAGGTGCATCAAGTTCATAACCTCGAGTTTAACAATCTTGAGGAATCTATATGGCGTTCTTTAAGATTGTTCAGTACTTCGAGGTGTCTAGTTGGAGTCATTTACAGGAAGCCAACTGCCGACATCGAGTACGATAGTCGTATGCTGGAAGGACTATCCCACTCTACTCGCCTCGGTTTCACACACATCCTGATTGCAGGGGATTTTAATATCCCTAGAGTCAACTTGGCGGAACACACGTATACTGGAGGCAACAACTCAATTGAAGCTCGATTCTTCAACCTTATCAATGACTTGAGATTGTACGAAAATGTGAGGTCGGCAACTCGTTGGAGAAACAGTCAGACGCTATCGCGCTTAGACTGTGTATTCACAAACGAAGAATTTCTAGTTGACAACCTCTCAATCTTGGCTCCCCTGAGGAAAAGTGGTCATGCCGTCATAGTCTTCAGTTTTGTCAGCAAAACTAAGCTAAGATACCCCACCATTATCTCGCGTTAGAATTTTAAAGGGTTGAATGTGCCAACTGCACACGACTACCTACAACAGGTGGTTTGGGATGTTCATCCCCAACTCGACGTGGACGTGCATTGGGGCTTCTTACTGCACACGCTCTTACGTGCTACAAACCATTCAGTTCCTCAAACGGTTCCCAAAAGCCGCAAGCCACCTACAATAATCAAGAACCGTACCCTTCGCCTGCTAAGCAGCAAAAGGCACTGTTGGGCGGAATACAAACGAACTGACAACGACGGAGCGTACAGGCAATATGAACATATCAGGAACATATGCACGAAGGCTATAAGAGAAGATAGGCTCCAGTACCAGACAAAGTTTATGGACAAACTTGCCTCTAATCCTAGAAGCTTATTCCATTATACAGCCTCTCTTCGTCAAACCAAAACTGGAGTTTCACAACTGCCAGGTCTTAACGGCCCGACCAACAACGATGGCGACGCCGCTAACCTTCTGGCTGAACAATACTCCCAGACATTTCAACCGACCGACATTAACTTTACCGATGACAGTTTCGTTTGCAATTCCACAGGACTTTCCGAAGTGAACTTAAGCGCTGACTTGGTGTTCCGGAAACTGCAGCACTTAAGATTAGACACTTCTCCTGGCCCGGACATGGTCCATTCCGCCATACTGAAGGAAGCAGCTTCAATCTTTGCAACGCCGCTTAGCGTGATGTTCTCACACTCGCTAAGTCAAGGAAAACTACCGGAAAATTGGAAGCTGGCTGACATCACACCAATTTTCAACAGCACGGTTTCAGGAAGGGTTACTCTTGTATTACCATCCTGCTGACTGCGGTGGACAGATGGACAAGCACCCTTGATCACAAGGGGAAGGTTGATATCATCTACCTAGATTTCTCAAAAGCTTTTGATAAGGTTAACTATACATGTCTTACCAATAAGCTCAAATGATTGAGAATCAGACCACCTCTAATCGATTGACTCACTTCATACCTGAAAAATCGACATTTTAAGGTCAGGTTTAATTTCACTTTCTCTCAGGCTATGGAATGTCCTAGTGGGATCCCCCAGGGCTCAGTACTAGGACCTCTTCTCTTCTTGATCTACATAAATGATCTTCCTCGATAGATAACGTCAGACTTATTACTTTTTGCCGACAATGTGAAACTCTGGAGAGAGATACGCAACCAAGACGATATACAGGCACTTCAGGAGGATCTGACTCGACTTCAAATTTGGGCAGACGATAACGGACTTACCTTTAACACTTCAAAGTGTAAAGTAGTCCATCTGCGACATGTCGCAGACCACAGTTATAACTTATGTAACTCCTCTCTAGTAGTATCTCAAGTAGAAAAAGATTTAGGAGTCTTGGTGACCTAAGATTTAAAGTCTTATGCTAACTTTGACAAAAATGCCTTCCGAGCAAACCTTGCACTGATAACACTGAAGCGCATTTTTGGCCAGTTTGACGGAAGAACTTTCCATATAATCTTCAATAGTTTTATCCGTCCCCATTTAGAGTACGGAAACATAGTATTTCCCCCTCACTCCAAAAGAATAAGGACACCCTGGAGAACGGCGAGCCACGAAATCAGTTCGAGGACTCAAATTTAAACCTTATGAAGAGCGCCTCCATTCATTTAACCTTTACCCATTAGAGTATAGACGTCTTAGAGGTGACCTTCTGATGACTTACAGTATCCTTAACACTTCTGGACATCCTCTCAAACACCTACTCAAGCTTAGTTCCAACACTAAATTAAGGGGTAACACCGATAAACTGGATACACAACATAGCAGAACAGAATGCAGACACAACTTTTACTCCTTAAGAGTTGTCAAATGCTGGAATTCGCTGCCGGCCGAACTAGTCCAAGCGACTTCCCAGGAGTCCTTTAAGAGGCAACTTGATCTATTCTTAAGGACTAAGGGTAGTATCGCACTATGATTTATCAATTTCCTTTCCTGTTTTATTGGTAACATACCTAGGTTCCTGCCTGGAAGATTTGGTGATCTCCTGTTACTAGACACGTAAGCCTGTTATGCGAAAGCTTCTTCTATTCCGTCAACAACCATTTGAACCATTTGAACGTCTGGAGTTTCGTTTCTCGCACCGAGTAGTGAATTATTGGAATTTTCTACCGGAACACGCAATATCAGCACCTTCTGTTGATATACTCAAGACGAGATTGAACCTCCACAGTATTACAAACTGCAAAGATTAATATAGGTCGACATACCTTCTATCCTTATTACTGAAGACTGAAGGCCACAGTCACTTGCGCCAGTATTGAAGGTCGTCGAACCTTTTCGGAATGAAATGGTGCTGGTTGGATTTTTGTTACTGTATCTTTTCTGTTTTGTTGGTATGTTGGCTACTAAACGTATAAATTAACTTCAGTCAAGTATTAGCTTGTCGTACGGAAGACATACATCAAATTGGGCTGTTCTTGTAGATACTTCGCGGTTCTGGTTCAACTATCGACATATAAGCAATGTCCTTTCAATTTATCGAAGTATCAAGCGCCTCGGAATACCAGATAGGTATCATATTTATTATTATATTTATTCATCTTAAAAGCCGAATTATTTTGATGGTGGCTGATGATGCAAGTTGTAGTTCGAGAAATCCGAGACCAGGTAAGATATTTGACGTATCCTTATGGTCTTAGCAACAATCTTCAACAATCCTTACAGTCGGGTAAATTTGTACGGCGAAGAGATAGAGATTGATTATCGTGGTTACGAAGTTACTGTAGAAAACTTCATTCGTGTATTAACTGGGCGTTTACCTCCTTCGACACCTACTTCTAAGCGCCTCAATACCGACGAGCACAGTAATATCCTAATATATATGACAGGTAGTTCCCAAAAACTTTAATTCCGGCTTCAGGCCATGGTGGTGATGGTTTCCTTAAGTTTCAAGATGATCATGAGCTTTCTAACAGTGAACTGGCCGATGCTATTGAACAGATGTGGCAAAAACGTAGGTGAGTCTGGATTTATCAGTTTTTAACTTGAAAAGTTGAGTCCATACTCTTCGAAGGCACAGCGGTCTAATTTATGGCAGAACGAGGACTAGATTTTTACACTTCTGTGCCCGCTTACTGTGCTAATTTAAGTTTATGGGTTTAATATTGAAATTTAACAATTTGACTAACCCTGTTTAATGTTCAAAAGTTCAACTAGTTGTTTTTCAGATTGGTGTAGTAAGGACAAGGCCTTATGCCTATGTTATTCTTTTTCTAGTATGGTTTTGTGAGTGCCTAATCTTTTGTTGAACGAGTCAATTGAAAGTGCGGACACCACTGCTTCGGGTAACAGGTTCCAAGTATTGATGGCTCGGTATAAAATCCTGCATGCCACGGGTATTTTGTTCGTTCTTCGCTTTTCTACTCTTCTATGTCCTCTGAGATGTCCCGACCTAATGGGAAGAAAAAGAGAATATATTAGGTCCAAAATAATTTCTTAGTATTCTATGCATCAATGCTAGATCTCCCGTTAGTCTGCGATAGCACAGAATAGAGAGGTCCAGCTTTTCAAGCCGCTCTTTGTATGGTAAACCCCGGAGTTCTGGAATTGCACGAGTAGCTGCCCTCTGTACGTTTTCCAGGATATCCGAGTCACTTTTTATTGTAAACGGCAGCATTATTTTGTAAAAGTCTGTCATTGGAGATGTTGCTATTACGTAAATGACAAATTAGTCGTTTATGCATACTGTTTATGTTCCTGGCTGTTAAAGATACACTAATTTTCACTTCATATGCAACATATAGAAGTATTAGCCCCTTAAAAATAAGCATATTCTCACTACCGATTAAGTGAAGCTATCAGCCATTTCATAAGCACTCATAATAAACGCCAGCATGTTTATAGCTGTTTATTCGACATCATTTGTATCGATGACCCAGAACTTCCAAATTTACACTTACACATTCAAAATGGTAGACTAAAAAAGGCTGCAGGGTGTCACAAGAAACGAGTATGAGTCTGCGAAAATTCCGATCGGATGACTGAGAAATCTGCAGTAGTCTGAAAAACTGAATTTCAGGATTATTTCAAAGACTTGTTCTCATGACTTTCCGAATAGTCAAGTCTTAAAATCTCGTGCTATTGAGATCTCGAGTTTAGTAATCAAGATTAAATCAACTTGTATAGAGCATCCTCCTAAGTAAACCATCTTCAATCTGGGCACACGGGCACAAACCCAATGATGATTACAACTGGAAAAAAATCATGTCCGATTCAATTCTTATTCTTTTGAAGTATACTCTCAGCTTTCAGGTAACATTCGTTTCTATTTTGCATTGCGTTACGTTTCTGTTCTTTTTTATTCCCACTTTATGTATTTATTTATTTCTCAACTCATACAGCAGCTCTCCTGTGGTGGGAACCCTGTCCCATCTAAAAGATCTCAAGCCACTGGCTCGTCGAGATTTGAAGGCTACTACCGAGCACGAATTCTGAACCAGCATTTCTAAAACCATGTGTGCCATTTGAACTGACCTCCAACGTTCGCACACTAGTGTAAATCGCACGACAGATAGGGTTGGATGCCTTTAGGAAGTCTCGAAATCGATGTCTGTTTTCCATCCTGGGCACGTATTGAACACTAGTGAAGTACTATCTATTCTTTCCCCATCTGTCGCTCCAAAAAGCTTGTTCCATGTACATTTATTCAGGGACTCTGTGGCATCTTCGTATGGATTTGCTGGGGAAGTTAATTTTTTTTGGCCACTAAAACGTAAGATTAACACAAACAATGGCATAATGAGAGTCCGGATTAATACTCCAAAAGGGGAGGTAGTTTTGTACACAACCTCGCATGTAAGTAGGATTTCCCTACCTGAGGATATGTACTCTGTGCCATATGAGAGAGCATTCTGAGGAGGTTGACAGACTCTCCTCATCCTCGGTCGTACCAGTGTGTTCGGGGGCTAGAAACTCTTGTATGAAGACCACAAAATAAGTTTCGTCTTTTTAGAATTTAGAACCATCTATTATTTACACCTAATACCACAACTTGACGATTCGTTTTAAGTTTTTCTTTATGAAATGTCTTGAAGTTGATGTCATTAAAACGTTCTTGTTCAACTTATTAACCACTAAGTCTACTTATTTCCTTAATAGGTATCATGAATTACTATTCATTGTCGATACATGTCAAGCTGAATCAATGGGCAAGTTGTTTTATTCGCCTAATGTAGTAGCCATCGGTAGCAGTGCTATAGGAGAAGAATCATTATCTGTGAGTTTAAGTTGATATTTCTCAAGGCAATACTTGAAGCTTTATTCTTTATGCACGGTCTACTTGTCATTCATTTTGATATGAATTGTCTCAGTCAATACTGAGAATATTGGCTGGCTTCAACTCATATTTGCATCCACTTTTCATTGATTAAGATTTACTGACTTTCTTATTACACAGTTCTCTTTTAACTACCACCCTACCGAATGTTTTGAAATGTTATCCATCATTTTGACTTAGGTGGTTAGAAGGTTCCGAAATATTTCCCCTAATTCAGTCGTACAAATTATCTATATACGTTTTTCTGTGTAGTTAAATTGGGTTTTTATTGACCATAAATCTGACTCCGATTTTTATCGTATGTTGATTGCTATCTAAATGTACATGTCGCGAATCCTCGTATGTTATCATCGACTTAAATCAAGTTGGTGAACAATGAATTTAAATAAGTCGAATACGAGAATGAAGTTTTGATTACGTATATTTCATACAATCGTTGATCTGATCAGCCAATAAAGGAGACGGAGCGAAGAGGAAAGAGAGAAGCTAAACTAAATGACGCGCAGTGGAGAAGGTGAGTGAGCCAACTCGATTTATAATCGAACAAAAAATTAAGTTACAGACGAGATGATTAGGATAAGAAATATACACACATAAATACGCTCACATAAAAACACTCAAGGTTGATAAACCAATAAGTGACAGGGTAAAAATGCGGCTTGAGAAGAATGAATAGATCGATCTGTCTGGAGGCTAGAATAACCTATGTGGACTTGACATAGTACCAGCTCCTACATGTTTATGAAATGAAATGGCTGCAAGACGTACTGAACCGAAACTACGGACAAAAAACTGACTGTACCAAAAATGCTAACGAAAAACGATGTCTAGATACAACTAGGGTGTATCATAGATGTATTTCCTGCTATAAATTCTACGATATATTAGTATTCCTCCAAACAAACAATACTCTAAACTAGCAAGAGTCAGAAACTCAATATTAAAGGAAAAACAACGAAATTGTGCATATATGTTCAAATGTAGTGACTGTAATGCTGTATATGTGGGTGAAACATAACTACAGCAGAATTTGAGTGTGAAGCATACTCCTTAATCCTCAAATGACTTGAAGGAAAGTTAAGAAACAAGTCAGTGATACCGTTAGATTTGGTAGAGTCCGGATGTATAATTTATTTCAGTGACACTAGAATCCATCAAAACGTTTTATTTTAGACAAAGAGACATCGGCTGAAGTCCTACATATATAGGCAAACCCAAACAATATTTATATGAGAGATGGGATACAATCAACTTAATTTTACACCTTATTTTATTCATCTCTTGGACAATAACAATTACTTTCACTTGTTCTAATCGATTGGTTAGTCCGAATATACAATAAAAAATCAACGTGGTCGACGCAATAACGTGAACATTTATTTGTTTATTTATCCTCAAATGATGAATGGTGTGACATGTTTGATTCATATAATCTGTCAAATGATCTAATTTCAATAAACTTCTAATCCGAAACGAAATGGTCAGTGCATTTTTCTGGCGTCAGATCTAAATAGACTTGTTATATCTTAACACAATTTCTCCACTTTTAATACCAAATATCTCATACACACTACAATAAATCTCCATTTCAAAATTGTTAACGTGATTGAATAATTTGTTTATTATAAAATTGACCTGTGAACTATTTATATTCGACAATTCTGATGTTTGATTATATTTCCTTCAAAAAGTCTGGGCCAGATTGCCAAACAAAACGTTGAATTTACTTAAAGTTCAATCGCTGAGATTTTCACAATTATAATTTTCCTCCTTAATTGAATGGTTAGTAGATATTTTGAGTTTCTCTCTGAACTTCGAAGTACATAGCTTGTATGTACTTGTTACACATCTTGTTTAATTTGATTTAGATTTATAAATTTATTTGTTAATTTGCAATTGTTTTGTCATATAGTTGTGATGTTCCTCGTTTATTGAATCCTACTAGTGTTAGCAATATTGTCTAAGCATCAGTTTTCTTGACTAAATTTGTAGGAATTTTTCATGTATTTCCCTTCATACAGACTGCTGGACTGGATGTGGTTAGAATTAAGATTTCTCTTTAAATTTAATTATATTTGTATGACAACTAAATTTATACTGTGCAAAAATATTCTCACTTTTATCATTCAGCTCCATTCGGATCGCGAAATTGGGACCTATGTTTCTGATCGATATTCTTACTATGCGTTTCAGTTTTTGGAGTCTGTTACTCCGTCGAGCAAAAGAACATTGTATGATTTTGTAAGTTTAAGTTATACTATAGCTTTTTGTTTCTGTACTGAGAACTCCGTATAGCTTTATGTGCTAGAATAAACAATCGACAGTAAAATTGATGGTTATCTTACTATTCCTTATATTAACCTTGTTAGTTGTCACTCTTATCACTAAAACGTAAGGGTTGGTGAATCTTTTCAGCATAATGAATGTTATACTCATAAAATGACTAGTAATGTAGTTAGTAGCTTGAATTTTACCGAAACGTCAAAAATTGATAGGAATAATAAACTGCAAAAACGAGTTTATATCATGACAAGACAGATTTTGATATTGAAGTTTGATAAGAAAAACAGGTGAATAAAAATAAGTTGTGTTGGGGGGGGATTGGAAGTTAGCTTGGTGATTGAAAATGAGTGAAGTTATTTAATTGCTTCATTTGTACACACAGTTCTGCTTGGTTTATATGTGTTGTGGACGTTTCAGCAGTTCAAATAAGGACACAGGTCAGTGTTTTTAGTAGATTTCTACTCACTACGTGAATAACTTAGAGTTTTTAATTTAGCGTCATGGAATGACCATTGTTCACAAAGTGTCCAGTCCTTGTCAGTCAGTCAGTCAGCTACAACGTAGGACCAGGGACATATATGCATCGGTCCAAGTTGCCATACCTCATTAGCACAGCAAGATGGACACCGGATTCATAAAAGTAGTTAATTCAAAGGTGGTAATATATAAAAGAAAGATTGCAATAAGGATATAGTACAGGAAGAAACAATTAGTTCGTGGAAAGAAAGATATGAAGCGATTTTAATCTCTTAGTTTAAGGAAAGACAGAGTGTATACACCTACGCCATTGTGATCGATTCTGAGCCATATCACCAAGTCTCCAACCATTGGTTACGATAGTCACGCGGACCCCAACCGAGTAGACTGCATCTACCAACATGGCTCAGATTAGAAGTTAGTGACTTCAAGCACTGATGCCACGTTTTGGTTTGGCCGCCCCTAACTTTCTTCCAACCATCCCCAACACCGGTTAGCATTGCACGTCATGGCAATCGGTGTTCAGGCATACGCAACACGTGGCCCAACCATCTCAGTGGATGAAGATTCACAACCCCATCAACTGATTTACCATCATTTCCTAATGATGTCCAGTCCTTGAGTGTGGTATGGATCTGTTTCAATATACAGATAGTGTTCTTAAATCTACAGTGATTACGATGATAAATATAATTTTTAACTTTTCAGCTCCCTTAACTATCCAACGCTTATCAGGAGATTGAAGACGTAAAATCCAGGCAAATCAACCATGTTTTAAACACTGCAATAAATGTATTCACTAAGTTTCATCCAGTTATTTTTATTGCTGTTAATTTCATATTCAACTTTTGCTCTTCATCTTGTAAGTTGTGTTTCTCTGTGCCGAAGCATGATATGGTACACTGAAAAGATAAGCATACATGATCATTTCTACATTTTTTAAGAGCATTATCAACAGCTGTCATTTTCCGTGACACGTGGTTGTTGTTCGAGATTAACGAAATAGCCTACATATAATTAAAACAATTGGAATGAATTGTTCTTGAACAGTTTAAGCTGTTTCAATATTATTTTGACAGTGGTTGTAACAAATGACTGGATGTCTCATTGGGTAAATTACAGTGTTGGTAATGAATCCACATTTATTTTTTCATTTATTTCGATCATATAATTACTGAGTGTTTATTTTATTTCTGTCTAATGTTGCTTCCTGATTTTTCGTCGTATTTCTACAACATGTAGTAACTTTTATCGATACTTTCTTGTGATAGACTCTATAGACTTATTAGCTTTTTCACAAGCGGATTATGTATCTCAGTAAACGTACTTAAGTCAGTTATTTAGCTATACAAATTAATTGCATTGTGTTTTTACTTCTTTTATTTTGTAACCTAGTCCCAGTTATGCTCTTTCTCATTATGTCAATCAACTGTTATCACTCGATCTGATTTATTTAGACGTGATATACGTCGCGTACTTGTTACAGACTTTTTTGGTAGCGTGCGTCATATAATCCCTGGACCAGTTATAGAAATTAACAATTCCACTTTGTATGAAAACAATACATTGTAAGTTCACTGCACATGCACATAATTATTTTTTAATTGAGAACAAAGTGTATTTGAGAATGGACAGTTTGAAAATGTAAATCCACTCTTCCTGGTCTAGTTCAACTCACTTTGTATAAGGATAAGAAAACTTGTTTTATGTAGCGTAATTATATTTGCACTGCTCGACTACTTAATAATCTTTTAAACACAGTTATTTAAATACAACATGGTTAACAGCTTGATATCATCTATCTATATAAAGCAGGCCTAATAACTTCGAAAGAACTTGTTCGAATTCTATAATGATTCTGTTTATTTTAACAGAAGTAATCTCTTAGTAATTGAATTATTCATCATCCTATCAGTATACGTCATATGTTCAACCTCCATTCTACCTATTTTAATTAAAGCAGCTGCGTTGGTATTACCATATCGGTGGTTGAAATTCATGACCCCTTTTGACGGAAAATTAAGAGTATGGTTATAAATCTTTAAAAATAAGCTACTAGTTAGCCTGAATTTCTAAGTGTATCGTTATGTGATTAGGAGTGCATTTTGTATCTCCTGTTTGAATTATTTAAATCGACTGTTAATAATACACTATTGTAATACGACTAGTTATAATCCATATAAACTAGTAATCACTTTGCAATAAAAACTCATTATCCGTTCAGCACTAATTAAATGTACAGTTTACATTCTTGGTCTTGTTATCCGGAACCTCGCGGTATAATATTGGTGTAAACATGATCAGTATGCGTATTAAGTTGATTCTACGTGTGATGCATATTGACAACAGGAATATCATTCAAATACTCGTTTCTCTTTATGAATAATATAGTCTAACAATCTGCAAAAGTCTCTCCAGTTCTTTTTTACCTATGTTCTTCATTACTTCACTTTTTCGATGGAAGTGTAGTAAAAATGAGTTTGTTCACCTAATATCCAAATAGCGGTTCAAATGTGCTGGTTGGTCGACACCAACGGATTACTGAGTTTATGTTACGCAGTCTGACAGTAATAACTCATCTTTTTCATTTTCAAAAGTGGTTGTACTATAAACGGAATAAAGATTTAGGTAAAATGTCATTGGATGTTGTAATTCAGTCGATTATTAATGTAGTTGATTCCATAAGGTCTAAATCCAAAATTTCGTGTTGTGATTTCAATATATCTGAGATACCCGACAAATAGGGCTTCTTGTGTGACGGAGATAATTCGTTCTTATGTTTGTGTTAATATCAACGTTAAGTGATTTTCTAATGTAGGAAAACTATATTCAGTGAAATGAGTGTATTTTTACAATCGTGGACTGATGAAGCGTTATAGGTATTTGTGAAACTAGTATCATTTCCACGCTAGTTATTAAAGATGTACATGTTTAAATTTGTAAAGCCTTAAAAAGGGTATTTTAAACAGTTATTTTCTCGAAGATTCCTTGTTTTAGTTTTTGTGTACTTTGTCTACGTATCCAATTTTCTTTTTCATTGCTACAATGCCCTTCTATTTTTCTATATTTTATGATTATAGAATTAAATACTAAATCGAAGCATTTTTCGTACGTTACACCTCTCAACGTGTATCTGTGATACTAGTTTTCTAATTAATATATTATTGTACAATCCGTTAGACCGTTTACATACATTTTTCTGTAATAATTGTTTTAAAATTTATTGAATCTCGTTAATATGCCATCATAACTTTTTTAATACCACAGGGAAGAGCTAAGTTTGTCCATCGCTATAAATTTCCAACCTATTCATGCTATCAGTAGAGCTTTATGGTTTGACGTTATCGAAGTAGTTTTTAATTTCCTAAGTGATAGTGTAATTCCGTTCGGTGCGAAAATACATGACTGACACTTGTTTCAAAGGTTAGTTTGAGATATGAAGTTCTTTGTGACAATATTTTGAGACTGAGGAATATCACCGTGTTATTCAAGTTATTGTTTCCGGTAAAATGGCGTGGATGCTAACTGTTTTATGAACTTGTTTATCTACAGAGCATGATTAAACGGTTATTTGAGTCCCACTTAACCATGTGCAGCATCATGCTTGTCACTGTTATCATTTTCTATGAGAGAGCATTATTTTAACGTTAAAAAGCATCCAACTTCAGGAATGATGTCGTTATACATTACCCTTGTAATGTATGACAACCCAAGCACATCGAAACCACTCATCGCCATGCAGTATAAGGCGGAAAGTCGACTACGAATAATTTTCGGTTAAGTATTTTCCACACAACCGATGACACTAGGCATAAACAGCAGCAGAAGATTTGTGTATGTGCGTTTTAAATGATGAACAAAACGGAACGAACATTACTCATTATTCCGAATAATGGTTGTGAGAGATAGGTTTAATAATATGATACGAAGTCCTGTTTACCGTTGGTCTGACTACTCATTACAATAATATATAGTATGACAAAGTTACAGGCGTTAGGTAGAAAAATATTAATCGATAAGTACATAATCGTAGAGATACAAGGGCATCAAATTGAGACGCGTATTTATGCTAAGGATCACGATCTCTTATGAAGATGGCTGTCGGTGGAAATAACTCAACAGTCACATACCGTCTGGGTCATTAGGGTCTGTTTAACGTTAGGTTGAATATGTGAGTGCTTATTGGTAGTAAACACTACAGCGGTTTGTCTTCATCCAATTCTTCCGTTTATTAGCTTTTCCCATTTGCTATTATCGACAGTGTAGCCTGTAACAGCTTAGGTTGATTGGTTAAGAGGTGACCTCATACATATGTCAAAACAGTATAGTTTAAGTATTCATTCCACTCTTTATCTTGTATAGGCGTTATATTTCCTATTATTTTATGTTCAATGTTGAGAGTCTTTGTTTGTCTGAACAGTTAATCCCGCGACTCAGTGTGACTTCGCGAAAATCTAAACAAAAACCTATTCACTACTAGTCTGTTTTCTTCTATCAATAGCACGAGGGTTACTTATAGGCACAAAACTGGTGAGCCTGACGTGAAAGATTAGTGTAATGAAATTAAGCCCTAATGACACAATCCACAAAGCTGAACACGAGACAATCGGGAAAATAGATATTCAACGCCTAACACGGAGAAAAGCCCAACGATGAGGAGGGCGGGGACAAGGAGTTGATTTAATTCGGGTTGATCGGATGTTATGGCTTGACCTTGCAAGTGTGTTCCCTGTTGAATGTTACCTTATGTCCTTTGTTCATATTAAATATATTACTCTATCTCTAGCCTACGCTTGTTCTCCATCATGTATTGGTGATTGTTACGATGCAGTGAGTTGGTATAGACGACAATGTGACTTCCACATAAAAACTTATAGATTAGGCAGTTAGATAATGACAAATCTATAATTTTAGGATTAAGTCCATCATTAGCACAGTATTAATATCATAGTAAACCATCGTTCTACAAGCCCATGAGAGTCGAATCTGTGAATTAGCTAGTTGTCGTTTGAAATGCAAGGGACAAGAGCTGCTGAGTACTCTAGTCTATCGCAGTTCAAGCTGTGAGGTATATGAGGTCTTACTAAACAGTCTCAATACTTGGTTACAAAGTGATCGATGTCTAATCCTATGGTACTTTAATGCACCCATGGTAGACTGGGAAAATATGCGAACTGAACTGTTAGATAATTCATTTGAGCAGGAACCAGTTGATGTGGTTATCACATGTGCCCTGGTGCAACATGTAAAAGAATCGACTAGGTACGACCCGGACACTGAATCATCCTTACTAAATCTTATATTGATTCATTATGGGGGTGGGGTTACGAACCTCGATTATATGCCACCCCTAGGTAAAAGTGATCATGCAGTTCCAACTCTTAACTTCCATATAATCGTCAAAAACGAACAACCGTCAGATGGATCCAGAACTAACATCTGGAAAGTAAAAACATACAAGATATAATACATTTATCATCGTCAGTAGATTGGACAATAGAGCCAGAGTTCTCAGTTGAAACGATTTGGGATGTCTTTCGAAATTTGTACCGAAAAGTTATTTCACCCCAAATCCTTTGGACCTTAAGAAGGGGGCCGAGAATCTCTCCACCATGGTTCAATAGGGAGGTTCACATCCTTCTCCGTAAAAGAAGAAAAATGTGGGACAGATTTAGGTTACTGGGGACTAATGAGACAAAATCCAAGTATCGAAAAGTTCAGGATACCTATACCTCGACCCTTTGTATGTCTAGAAAGTTGTACGAAGAGGAAATCGTTAAGGAATACTTAGAATGTCTTAAACGCTTGTATTTCTATATAAACCAAAGGACAAAAAGAAGAGGAAATATTCCTGCGCCACGGGGAGACAATACTGCCGAATCATCAGTAGACGTCGACTTTGGGAAGGCTCAGGTGTTCTCAAACTACTTTAGCAATGTATATACCATATCCTTCAGGGTCGTTCACCAAAAGTCTGGGAGAACGCCACAGTAAGTCTTGTCTTAAAAACAGTTACGAAACATAAATCTGAGGATTACCGACCCGTGAGGTTAACCGATGTGATTGTTAAAATCTTAAAAAAGATTATACGGAAGGAGCTGTTTACGTATCTCGACGAAAACCGGATCCTTTCGAAAAAACAGCATGATTGCAGAATAGGTTATTCTTGCCTCACTAAATTATTAGTGGCTTGTGAAAGCTGGTGAGCTCTTAAGGATCAAAAGTTACCTGGAGATGTAACCTACATTGACTTCATCATAGCTTTTGACACGGTTCCGCACATTCGGCTGTTATATAAAATAAGAAATGTCGGGGTTGGAGGCAATTTATTGATGTGGATAAAAGTCTTACTAGTTGGGCGTCAACAAAGAGTTCGGGTGAACTCAGCTGGGAAACTTTGCTTAGTGGAGTGCCCCAGGGTACAGTTTGGGGCCAGTGCTATTCCTCTTGTATGTAAATGATCTTCCTCGTCTCCTATCACCATCGGTTTTGCTATATGCTGTCGATGTCAAACTATGGAGAGCGGTATGACGTCAGGGTGATAGCTTAGAAATCCAAAATGAACTAGAGAAATTGCCTGAATGGTATCAAACCCAGTAGTTGCCGATAAATACTTCCAGGTGTATTGCGATGCATATCGGTCATCAAGGTATAGATACATACACGATGAATAACACTGAGCCACATGTTGTTGAGAAACAATGACTTAGGAGTCATCGCTAGCCAAGCGGCTAGCCCATGCTTAAAAAAGACAGTGAACTTTTGGAAAAGGTTCAGAGAACGGCAACTAAGGTGATTCCTGGAATAGCGAAGCTCCCGTATGATGCTTGACTGGCCAAGCTAAACTTATTCCCGTTGTTGTATCGTAGAATTAGAGGCGACTTGATTACAGTTTTCGAATTGCTTAGTGATAAATTTGCACCTGATATGCCCTCATTTTGCTTATATTACAAAACATAGAGTTGACGAGGACACTTCAAAAGAGTTCACAAGCCGAGAACAAATTACTTGCTGGCTGACTTTCCCATCGAATAATCGAATGGAATTCATTACCTCAGTACGTGGTTGAGGCTCCATCCGTCGACTCTTTCAAAGGAAAGCTGGATCAACTGAGAGATCATCATTGCCAAAACTAACACAGGCCATCAAGCCTCCTGTCATTTCTAAACCAAAACTGAAACTGCCAGGACGTTTTTATTGTACATTGAGCGCTGAATACTGGCACTGTTCTAAATCTTGACGTTAACTTTCTACAAATTACTGCGCGATGAACGTTGATGAATCGAAATCAATGGTAATGTTAATGAATCTCATTTCGCGAATTACCGAATTATTGTTTGCTTCTATGAGATGTGAATGCAGATTTTATCCGCTTACGTCATGGAATAGTACCACTTATCATATCGTAGGACGCGAAGTGACCTTATACTGGCATTTCATATCTTTAATTATGATTTGGGTGTTAACACGTCTTATCTTTATGCTCCCTTCAGCACTAATAATCTTCGAGATCATAGCAAGAAGTTTAATAAGCCGCGATCTAGTAAACTTTTTTTCATCGATTAGATTTCAGATTTGTGTGGTAAGGACAGAAGGCCTACAGCCTATGTTATTCCTTTTCTAGTATGCTTCTGTGAGTGTTCAGTCTTCTCTTGAAAGAGTCAATTGAAGGTGCGGACACCACTGCTTGAGGCAGCAGGTTCCAAGTATTGATGACTCGGTGTGAAAACCTGTATGCCACGGGTATATAGTCGATAATTGGAACGTCTTGCCCGAACAAAGTGTATCAGCCTCATCAGAGAAACTGGATCTTCACTGGAAGGCATTTTGTCAGGATTAACACAGGTTTACCAACCTACTATCCTTATTACTGAAGACTGAGCAAACTAATATTAGTCTGCTCATCGAATTATGAGAGCGCTGTTATATCAGACGAGATTGATATGGTAAATTACCTAAATGTTAAAAGTTGACTGCGTTATATTGAACATTTAAATTAGGCTGTAGGTTTGATAGGATGGAAAATGTAGTTTTAATTTGGTGAATGTAAAAACTCGGTTTCATGAATGCATTTGTCGTCATGAATACGCAGACAAGGTGTTATAGTTAGGAGTGTTTGGGTTATATTACGAGCCAGGAACACCAGAAATTACGTAATTTAGAGCAAATAGAAGTAGGTGGACATAAACGAACGTATGGTATTCAGAATTTTAAACCAGGCAGTTCTGAAGTACAAAGGGATCACTAATTCGTACAAACACTACACAAGATCGAATTGCTTTTATGCCGTACTCAAGTTTGTGTAATGCAACTACTGCTTCCGGTGTCAGGAAATAATTAAACCTCCACATTTTGATAATATAGGAGGTAACATAACTGATATCATTTAATTATTAGAGTAATAACGCTAGTTAAAAATGTGTACTTGAGGCACTTTAATAGGCTCTCTTTTTCGGTCACACAACTGGAATTTATCTCGTAGTCTTTGTTGGTATTAAAATAATCATTTAACCGAGGGTAGGCTACGCTTGATTTTCATATCGCCCAAAACAACAGTCGTTGTGTTGAACTTTTTCAAAAACCTTGCATCGATCAACAAAGGTTACGTCTATGGATATTCTTTGAGCCGTCGGTACACACTAACTTACCAGTGAAATCAATAAGTTCGTAGGACATAAGCAACCTATTTTTAATCTGTACTTCTTCACAGAGAGGACTGGGTTTTCGTCCAGATAGTTTAACAACTCGTTGTGAACAGTGTCTTCTAGAATTCTGACAAGTATGTTAGCCAATTGTACAGAAAGATTGTTTTCAGTCTTGTGCATCAACTACAGTATTGTGGCTCTTTTTCAGTATCTTTATATTCTGCAGATAGATTGAAACATATTTGATGGATTTGCGATGAAGAGTGCAAGTTTCTTTAACGTCCTTTGGTATTTCTTAATAGGTCAAAGGTATTGAGCTCTACAACGATCACAATAATTAGGTCACAGATGATATGATTTGTCTGCTTTTGCCAGAAAAGCGTCTCTACTATATATATATCTGATGTAGTCCAAGAGTACATGTTTAATATAGTCGTCTTCTACTAGTGATTTTATTGTACCGTTCTACAATACTGATTTTCCACCAAACCTCTTCATACTTCAATTCTAGTGCAAAAACAAGTGTTTAAACATTCTATAGAATCCCCAACAAGCTTTTATCCATACTCTGCTTTGGAGTAACTTAAGGCTATGGAATTAGCATTTCTGGCTTCTCAACTAGAGTAATTTGGCTCATTAACTCTTATTAGCCCGAGTTCTCTCCTTATTCTTCCTCTTTTACGGAGAAAGTTGTGACTCTTTTTGTTTAACCGTGGAGAAGAGCTTTTTGATTAGTGTGTCGTCACCAAGGTAATCTTTCATCAAAAATTATTATTACATCACACTTTTACTCTAATATAGTCTGGTAAGTTCAAGGTTATTGTTATATTTTAAACACTGAACTGTGTTGTGAGCCATGTACTCGTGTGAAGCTCCAGATTTGTCTGTTATGGTTGTGTGGGCTTAAATATTTTATCTCTTGATGGCTCAAACGAAGCTCCATTTTGTTCATCAATAACTATGAATTTTCTCCTCACTTAACACTTAGTGCAACAAAAGTACTTATTAAAATACTTCAAAAGTGATTTAAGAAACCAAACACTCAATGTGAGAAATCGTGTAGGCTTTCTGCTTCTGCTTTTGTTATTTTTTGAAATAATTCTAAGTAAAGGTTTGATTTTAATTGACTTATGAATCCAGAATTGAACATCATATATATTGAAATGCAAAATGTAACCATGGACAGGAAGTTTTTATGCACTCTAATACCCACACCTCAAATGTTTATCCCAGTCGCCATTTTTGTTTATTTTATTATTTTTCACCTCTTTTCCTCATTAAAAAGTTTCATAAGATGAACCAATCCATCAATATGTGGAAATATTTGTAACTGTATTCCCCATTTTATCACCTATAAGTCCCCATCTTGCTTGTCCGAATATATCTAGTACGTCTCGAAATTTTTTCCAATGCTTCCACAGTTCACCTCTTCATTATACCAGTTTCTCAAAAAAATAATCATGTAAATATATATTGGATGATTAAGGCTTGTATTGGGTGGAGTTTTCTTAATGGTTTACTTCCTTGGACCAAATTATTTGCACATCATTATACTCAAGTTTCTCTAAGTTTAAAAGTCAGCTAGAAAATAATTACAATGACATTTTGGCAGAAGCGCTCCACTTTCGAGTGGGAGGTTACTGGTCTGAATTCAACCCCACCAACCTTAGTTTGATCAGCCCTGTAGTATCGCTAGTCAGCACAAAAGTGTGTTGTTCAAAGATGAGCACATGGATATGTATTTGATAAGTGAGTAAAACCAAAGTCTATTCTATAATATAAAATACATGAGGCTTTATGCATAAATGTTTTCATCACACTTGCCTGAATTTCAATAATGGACTTTTAAATGCTTGCTATGAATAAACAGTGACAGCTGACCAAGGCCGAATGTCGCACATTTTTTATATTAATAAATATCGCCAACAAATGACAATCTTCCATTATTAACATATTTTGAAACAATTATTACAATTCCTCACTTTTTGTAGAACGCTTAAAGAACCTTACTGATTTAGATGCAAAATCACACATAAAATCTTAAAGACTTATTAGTCTTTGAATTGTGCATGCATTTTTTGGTTTAATAAACCAATCTAAAGCTATTTATCTTCTTAGATGTTATGCTAAGATTTTAACTGAGTCACGTCAACAAATTTTCGAAATCTGGCAGCGCGTTCGAAGTGATGCACTACTGAAAGGTTTGATTAAGTGTTTTTACGGCCAAAACAAATAATAATTGGTGTTTTATAATAATTACTGCAATGCTCACAACGAAAGCTTAGTAGAATTTCTTAAAAAGTCACGAGGTGGTTAGGTTGGTCGTGTTATGCATTTCACAATCAATGTGATTAAAACGTTCCGGAATACACATCATCAGTGTATTTTGTATGTACTATTGCGATCTTAACAATACGTGCTTTGGCCAAATATACGTCAGCTGTTAACGATATACTGGTCTCCCTTAAAAGCATTCACTTGAAATGTGCCGTCAGATAAAATTCTGGTAGAAACCAAAGGATAAATTCAGTAAAAAGTATCAAAAGAGAGTAATTGTATTGTTTTATAAGCTTTGATACTCATTTACTTACCTCTAATCTGAATAAATTTGGTAAATTTAAATTTATAAGGCTGCACACGTTAAATGGGTATTCTCAAAATGTTTTAATAAATCGTGAGATGCAAAAGTTTGTGGTTTTAAGACACTTTGAATCACATGAGCCCTTATATGATTTTAAGGGTTCCTCATTTTGGTTGCGTTTAAGAGTTAACTCCCTAAAGAGTGACTGAAGAGTTTACTACTTAGCTTAAACTTAACTGTATGTATATTTCCTGTCATTTTGTGGGCAGTTTGCAACTAAACGTGATCATTATCAGCAACTTACCAGTGTATATCGTGTACACCGTAACATTGTAATATTAACCGTTTAAAATCAAAGCGTTAAGTAAATAATATTTTATGCTGACATACTTTGTTCGGAAAAGGCTAAGGTTCCTTACTAGTCAAACAAACTTACTGATGGACCCTATATTGACTATATTTGGTCATACACTAGAAACTTGATGGTCGTCTCACTGAGTTTAAGTATTCCACGTTTAGTTGGCTTTCAGTAGGTTAAAAGTGAACTGTTTACTTTTTAGTTATACATAAAAATGACTCACTTTCCAAATATCTGATGCCTACTTTTTACTTAGTGTCTCTGGACTTTAGAAATGCTTCATTAAGTTTCAATTTTTAATTCTTAAGATCTGTATTTGCTTCTAAAAAAGCTTCAGTTTAGGTCACTGGTCTAGTAGTTTGGTGAAACATGGTACTTTATTGAATTTTACCACTAGCTTACATTTAAAAGTTATTTGAATTGTTAGAAATTTGAATTAAGTGTCCTACAAACAAAAGTAACGTATAAAGTAGATTTCATAAAGTATTTTATCATTGTGTCTTTTTATTTAAAAAGTTCCTGAAATTTGATTTGTAAATGCTGCCAGTTACGAGAAACTGGAGAAATTATTTTATAGCTCTTGAGATACTGTTATGATAAAGTAACATAACTGAGTGTGTAAGTGCGATTAATTGTGTTTCGTTGGGTTTCTTATGTATGTTTGTGTAGAGTATGTACATTTCCTCCCTGTGTTTTAGTACTGTAGATAT